TGATGAGTAAAAAAAGAAACTTGAAATTGTTTTCTCATCACAATTGGAAGGACTAGAAATAAAAATCCTCAGAGAATAATAGGCCGGGTTGGTTCCTGATTGCATGGTCTGCTGCTCTGCCTCTATAAATATGAGCATTCTGAATTCAAATTTGTAACTGTTTTCATCAAGACTTTATTGAATGTTGAAACAGTTTCAGCAATGCAACATCAGAACATCAAGTAATGACAAAAATATGTAAATGCACAAGATAAATACATCAGCTAATAAGTCTATCTGCTCTAAATGAAGCACATAATCAAAATAAAGAAATTATTATTATGTCATAGTAAATGAGGAATTTTATTGCCAGTTTTCCAAAGTGTAAGGTTTATTTTTCATACTACACCAGTTTTCTTCTATTATGGTCTGTCACATCTTGCTGTTGATGGCACTTTTTTAATATTAATTTTATATTTGGAGGCATGCTCTAAAAGTGCTTTTCATATAATTTTTAGTAAAATTAACCTCTTTTATGACTGATGTATTTTAATGCTTGAAAAATAACTTTTTGAACTTAAAATGAGTAGATTTGGGCTGGACATACCTGGAAAAGTCCTAAACAATTGTTTCTTTGGTATTTATACAGTAACAGCAAGAAAGCCAGATTACATATAAATGGAGCTCGACTAGTTCATGGTGTTCCTTAATAACACAAATACTTCAGAGACTTGACATTTCCCTTTCATACCTGTTTTTAATATATTTTGACTGATGCATAAAAGTCTTACTCCATGAAAAGACTTAACAAACCTCTGAACATCAGTTTTTGGCAGAGGGTGTACAGAAGAGTAAATGATGCTGTTTGAATGACTGCATTCTGTACTGATGCAAACATGAACGTGGTTTATTTTTAACTGTGCCATAACTTCTATAAACTTATCATACATGTCCATGTTTTTATGATGTGATATATGTGTAAAAGTAAGTCATAATTCAGGTTAATAAGAGCAGAGTTAGAATAGGGGTTGGCCTCTTTGCTGTATCTTTCTTTGCACCAGAAAGATTAAACTATCCATGGGGAAGATGCAGCTGGCAGAGATGGTAGAATTAGTGTAAGAGTATCATGTTAATAGAGCATATTTTTTTCTTTGGGAGTTAAAACCCTGCTAACCACACTGCTGTTGACATGCAATTGTCTTTCCATGTAACATTTTTTCATACATAATGAGTAGCAATGGTATGGCATCTTTCAAGACTATTTTTAGCAGAACACATTAGTTAATACTGCACAGTTTGCTAACTTAATAAAGGCTTTAGCCAGTTAGCAGAAGAAGTTCTTATTGGGAGCTCTGAGATGTACAACTTAATATATATTGCCAAGACTATTATACTTTGTGCTTTTCTAGACTAGAACATGGGGTTGTAGAATGTGAACAATAATCTTTGGTATAGAAAACTCCTAATTTGAAAACTGAGTATTTTTAATTTCTAAAATTTTCCTTCTTTGTTTCATAAGCAAAAACTTAAGTAAAACTACTTTTCAATTTAGATTTTCATCAGTACAGCTGTATTTTGTTCCATACAGAAACAATTTATGGTGCTTATAATTTAAAGGAGCTGGTCTTCTCTTTAATTTGGAAAAATTTGGGAAGTAATGGTCACATTGTATATAAGGAAGAGAAGTAGAATTTCAGAGATGCTTAAAGAATGGTCCCAAGTACAAGCTGGATATTAAAAGTTTCCAGTAGTCTTATATAGTAGCAAAAGTTGGAAATCCAAAGAGCAAAGTCTTAGACAGTATAAACACCTACCAAGTGTGTAGAAACTGTGCAGCTAGTTTTACCAGGTTTGTGAGGTCATTATATTCCAAAAAGTATTTTGTAAATACTTAATAAATTTTTATACTGCATCATCAAAGATGAAAGTTTGAAATTATACTTGCACTTTTAAGTTAACTACAGATTTGATTGGTTATGGGCCTTGAAATGTAAAATTTGGAGGCAGAAAGGGGGTGTTTTAAATACACTAATGCTACTTTCCTAAAATAATTTTAATCTCAAAATGTATTTTGTTCCCTGTGCTTAGCCAAAATATCTTTGGATGTAAAGTATCTTGCTGATGACATTTTGTCACTCATAAAATGGCCTGAGCATTTTGGGGGCCATTGGACACTTTTAATGTCATCTGACTCTAGAGTTTGGGTTGAAGAGAACACACAGAGGCAAAGAGGTACAAAAGGAGATGGCTGAGTATAGCCAGGAGCTATTAAAGAGAGATTCAAATGAATTCACAGTCAAGAGGAAAGCTGAGGAAATGAATTAAGCTTGTGATTTCACTGGTGGACCACATGCAGTTGGAGAAGCAAAGTGTAAAAATTTGGATGAAGTCTGTGATGTCAGGAGGATGATCCTTAGATATTTTAGTAGATCCATATGCTACAGGAAAAGGTTAACTGCCTTGTATATGAAAGAAGGATCTAAAAATCTGCTTATCATCTGTTGCAGTGCTGAATTAATGAAATTACAACTTACCTCTCAAATTCTTCTTTGTCTGTATCAACATGTCGTGGTGATTGCGTTTATCATTGATATTAAGATTAGAAATATTTTGGCTTTTATTAAAGGGAAAGAAGAGGAGAGTTTCATATTTCTTTATTGCTCGGTTTGGGCAGTTGCATTTTTAAGATGACTGGTAAGCCAATTTGGCACAATATCGAATTTGATGAAAATTGGGTATGACATTTATATAGTATTGACTAACACTTAACAGAGACCAGTTCTGACTCAGCTACTTCAAAGTAGCACTGCTGTGCTATAGCAGATAGCTTTTTACATGGGCTTCTATATTGAGCTTTTTTATCTTTCTGGATCCTCTTATTTCTGCATTTGTTTTTTAATAACTTGTGTGTATAGGTTTGTCTGTTGTCTTTGATGGAAAAAGAGATGACTATTTCCCTGAATTGCTAAAGTGGGCAACTGAAAATGGAGCATCCACAGAGGGTTTTGAAATAGCTAACTTTCAAGAGGAGGGATTTGGTTTGAAAGCAACAAGAGAGATAAAGGTGAGCCTGTGAACATTTGACTTAGATTAGAAAATCATGTTTGAAATATATCTGCAGAGATCTGGAATGCTCACCCTTTTCCCCCTTTTAACTGCTTATGCTATTCTGAAACATTACCAACTCTGTGTTCTTGAGAATAACATTATTGATAAAATTGAGTATTATTTTTGATGACTACTGATAGTACTGTGAATTTTTAATAAATCTTTTTTTTTTTCCTCTGTGTTGCCTATACTCCTTACTAATCACTAGAGTACTCTACCACACTGATATATCCCTTTATTCCATGTTTTCTAACTATTTGGTCTCTTCTCTTCTTTAATGCTCCTTTTTGAGAACTGATAAAGTTTTTGCCTGAAAAAGAGGTTTTTGCAATACCTATTTAGTCTCTTCTCTTCTTCATTCATGTCCCTTCTTTTAAAGAATTGGTCTTTTTGTCTCAGAAAATGGTGTTTGCAATACCCATTTTCCAGTGAAAATGAAAAAAATCCCCTAATTATGATAATTGTAAAGGATTTTTTTAATCATCAGATAAGGACTATAGACACACACAGAGTTAGCTAACTGTTAAAAGGTAAGCATTTAAAAATGTGTCTTTCTATTCCCATTTTGTAGGTGGGAAAGCTTTGAAGACCAATCAGCCATTGTAAAAAGACTATTAGAAAATGAGCATAGTACAATTGTTTAAGAGCTTCATTAGCACACAGTTAATACATTGATGGAAATCCTGAACAGTTCTTCTAGAATAAAAGGAGCCAATATGAAAAAACTCTACTGTGAGAAAATGCAATCATGCAATTATTAGCAATATAATGTATCTGGTAGCTTTAAGGTTGTGTTGTACATATTAGCAGTTCCAAAATGGAAGGGCTTTATTTTTTATTTGAGTGTCTGCATTTAAAACTTTGTGTAATGCAGATTGAAACATTTGGTTACCACAATATGAAACACAAGTTGTTTGTTGAATTTGCAGTGGAAGAGAAGGAAGAATTTTGATTCAGAATAATTTTGATTTAAAAAAATAATGCAAACAACTTGTAATTTAAAGCTGNATTTGAGACACTTGGCATATCATGTAAGTGACCCTTTTTTGCATTTCTTTTCTTTCTGTAGGCTGAAGAATTGTTTCTGTGGGTTCCCAGAAAACTGTTGATGACGGTTGAGTCAGCTAAAAATTCAGTCTTGGGTAAGAGCTCAAGGAAGTTCTTAAGAAAGAAATTAATATTTATGGGATCTTTCAGTGGGAGACTTTCTTTTTTTAGCTGATCTTCTTTATTACAAGGCTTGCTTATCATGCCAGCCATCAGGTTTGGAATACTTAGAAACTTGAAGTGGCAGTGGAAAGAATTTAATTTCCCGGTTAGTTTCTGGCAGAGTGCACTGGATATCTTCCACAAGTGTGTGTTATTTTGAACACGTATCATGTAGCTTGTGTAATACTTGGAGATAAAATGTTCTGAGATATTGAGAATATTGTTCTAGTTTTGTCATGCAATTGCACACGAGACATTTGCTGTGTCAAAAAACTTGCAGTTTTAGTAGGCAGCTAAATATTTTAGAAACCTGAAAAGCTTTTGTTTTTTTTATTAAGTGCTTACCTCTTATTTAACCATGTTAATTTAAAATAAATCTAGGATGTTCTTTTCCATGGAGAATCAATTTAGTTCTTCACCTTTCTTGGTTAATTCAGGATCTCTGTATTCTCAAGATCGAATTCTTCAAGCCATGGGCAATATAACATTGGCATTCCATCTCCTTTGTGAGCGAGCCAACCCCAACTCTTTCTGGCTGCCCTACATCCAGACTCTCCCCAGTGAATATGATACTCCTCTCTATTTTGAAGAAGATGAAGTACAGTATCTGCAATCAACTCAGGCCATACATGATGTTTTTAGCCAATATAAAAATACAGCTCGACAGTATGCCTACTTCTACAAAATTATTCAGGTAAGAATCTTCAATATAGTATATACATGTTGTTCTCATGATCGTTATTGTGGATAGTGTGAAAACAATGATGCTGAATAGTAATACAAGTATATTGCCCTTAAAAGTCTGAATCATTAGAGCAATGTCCTGATGTTTTTTTGAATTGCTATTAAAATTTTGCAGTTCATAGGCTTATGGATATATGAAAATGTATGTATTTGGTTGAGAGAAATGATTACTGCCCTTTGTTTAGAAATGGGTGAGGCTTTGGCTAGAATACTGTACATTTTTGGGCTCACCAGTGCAAAAGACACGTTGACAAACTGGAAACTTGTTGACAAATTGGAATGAGACCATAGGAGGGCTATTAAGATGTAATTTGCTTCAGCCCTTTATCCATATGGGAGGCTAAGGGAGCTGGATTTGTTTGTTCTGGGGAAAAGGAGATAAGGATTGATCCAATCACTGCTTTAATCTTGCCAGTCTCTAGAAGTCTGTGGTTTGGAAACTTTTATACGTGATCTGCAGAGATCTACAATCTATGCCTCTATGATTCCTTGAAAAATATGTAGTTTGCACTTAACGAAGTAAAATTATAATTGTTAATTGACAGAATAAAACCATTGCATATGTTGTATTTCCAATGAACATGGATTAACTGTTGTTTTCTCTTCTATTTAGCATAATTATTGTGATTGCTTTCAAATACAAAGATAAACCCATCTGGTAACGTTTAGGGTATGGAGAGGGTTGAGATGGGTGAACTTTTCATTGTGTTCTGAAGTAATGATTTAAACCTAGTTTCTAATAGAACTCTGTTATTCTCACTGATATCTAGATATAATGTTCTAAGTGAATGTTGATGTGTTATTCTCAAGGTAGTGCTCAAGGTCCAAACATGCAAAGCTTTTTGTGGCACAATCTGTTTAAAAATGTATGGCTCTATGTACTGAGTATCCCCAAATGTGTGATCTAGAGAAATTTTGTTTGGCCATGGGAGAGGTCAGAAGACATAAGGCAATTCTACTCTCCTTTGGTATTACCAGAACTCCAAAGCTTTTCTATCAACTGTTCTAATTCAACAAAAGTTACATTATTTTGTGTAATTGTTAGGTGTTTCAAGAACTGAATATGTTTCAAACACAAATTCCATTTACGGAGTTTAAGGAGCAGAGGGATACATTTTGAAAATTGAAGTAATTGAAAATGATGGGTGGAAGCCAAATCAAATGCACAAGGAATAAGCTAGAAACAGTGGCTTTGATATCAGAAGGGAACTGAATTCTTCCTTCCAGGTGTCACAATTCAGGAAATGATAGTTCAGCCAACTCTTTTTTCTTTCTGTGTCATATCCTAGACTGCCAATCCACACGTGGCCTTGCAGCATTCACTCAGTTTCTCAGAATATGCTGCCTGATCAAACAGAGCTTCTAAATGTTGTGCCTTAGAAATTTTGTTTCACCCTAAAAAAGTCTGTTGTTTTTAACAAGTTATTAGCAGAATATTGGGGAACATTATCCAATTCTTCTAGCTGCTATTCTTGCTCTTGCAGTTCTTTTCAGAACTGAATCATCTGAATTAGTGGAACTGTCACTATGACCAGTCCTATCATTTTCACTGACTAATCCTGCACTAGTACTATTATGTGAGAGGTTATGTGACTGCAATATTAATTAAAAAAAAAACTCTTAAATGCAGAATGATCAGAAAACTAGATCAATTTTTTTCTTGTTCTCCTGATAAATGCTTTAATTGCTTGTCTTGTGTTCTTGTTATATATCTTGTTCTATAACAGTTGTTTCACGTTGTTGAACCATGAGCATGAAGGTAGATCAGGTAGGATTCATTTGCTTTATTTACTTTCCTCTGTAGAATGAGAGGTAATAAATATTAGTTAAATTTTAAGTGGGTTCTGGTTGTTTGGTGCCTTACTTCAGCACTGCCATGTAACCACAATTTCAGCTGAATGTTTCTTTACTACTATTCAGCAAATACTACTATTCACATTAGAAAGTCAAATAAATTCAGTTGGCTCCAGGAATGTCAATTGTATGTATTGGGTAGCTATTATTAATGTTTTTGATGAAAACTTATGGAAAAGTTTAAAATTTTAATTTCTATTTCTGCTCTCAAAAATAAGAGGATGTAATTTATGAAATGGTGGAGGAAAAAAGTTCATAGAGAAAAAATAGAAGTCTCTTTCTTCCCTAAAACAAAGTACCATTTTTCCTTATTCATAAAAGCTGAAATTAATTTTAGTATCAGCTTGCATGTACTCATATGATTTTGTGAACAAAATTGACCCACAAAATACTAATACTAAGGGTAATTTATGAGCAGATGGAAAAGGGAAGAAGCAGCAAAAGAGATATTTGTCATAAAAATGAAAAAAACAAAGCAAACCCACTTATCTATGTAAGGCAGTGTACTCTACAAGCTTGATGAAATTAAATTTTTTTAGATTTTTGTATACCATCATTTCATTTGGTACTACTACTGCTTTAGTAAAAGTGTTTTAATGAAAGCTGTCTGGTGTGACCAGGATTTTCATATTGCTTTCAGTACACAGACTAATATTTTTTAAAGTATAAATACAGTTTTTGTAATACAAAAATCTTAAAATTGTGTTTACTTTATTGATAGTTGTTTTACTGCAGGAACTAATTCTAGTAGCATCTGGAAATAAAAGATGGGGGGGTTTTGCCATTTGAAGATACTAAAAAAGGGACTACTTTGTGCGGGCAAAATATTTTAATTGCAACATTTTTAGTCTAGAAAACATTTCTAATGGTGGGGGGAATAAACAGGTTAATGGGTCCTGTCTTCAAATGTTTCTTTTTCTTTCCAAGTAGGATTGCTAGACTGCTTTTAAAATAATTTGGCTTCTGATATGTGCAGTTTCAAACATGGTTTGAGAAGTGCTGCTTTGTTTTATTTTCTTAGCTTCTCCATAAGGGTGACTGCTGCAGTTCTGACTCTTTCTCCAAGTGCTTAGTCTGGCTACACATGAAGAATGGGCAGATTTATGAATTTCACAGCTGTTGCAAGCTAAACTGTAGTCTGGTTCGATAAGCAGAAACAGGTGGGATGTTGAGCAGACAAAAATAAACTCCTGAACATGTTAGCCGGGCTCTGTAAACCACACTGACACCTCTCTAAACATATGTAATTTGATAACTAAAAAATAGTTAAAAGTTGTTGCAGATGTACTTTAACCGTACATTTGGCCTCTGCATGGTATCAAAATACAGGGAGGGAATGGTGAAAAGACTACTTTCATTGCTGCAGACTTGTAGTTTGCAAGATTTTTTATATACTTTGTTCCAAAGAGAAATTCTGTAAGCTGCAGGGTTTTCTCAGGGGAAGAGAAAAGAAGGTATGTCTGTGACTTCCTTAACATTTATAAGCACTGCTTGCCTGCAGAAGGGTGAACAAAGCCCAAATATGGCTTAATGTTAAAAATTTTTTGTCCACTGAAATGTGGTATAATAGACACAAGAGGGAGCCATGTAGTTTACAGACCATCACAATGAGATAATATTCCTAAAGAAAATACAGCCAAGTTTGAAGCTTGTAAAAAGAATATGCAGTGGACTTTGTGTTTGATTTTCAGGTGCATCTCTATCCCTGTTTGTAGTCAGCTGCAGAGAAGTTTTTGTAAATCAAAACAAGTTATGAAGACAAGGAATGCACTTAGAGAAGGTGGAAGTGTCCAAGCAATTTACATTTTGAACATGACAGGTTTGAAGCAGTGTTGTATCTTTTCCCCAGCTTTTAGTAAAGGCTGTTACTACCTGCCTAAATAAAAGACAATTTTAGAACTTTAGTTGACTTTTGAAAACTTTGAAGTGGTAAGTCCAAAACTAACAGAGCCCATTAGCTAACCATAGCTTTTGCAATGCATTCAGTGGCACTCTGAGTAAGTAGTACCTGTATGTAGCTGCCTCTCATTTGCTGGAAAAAACACCAGTTTTGTGAGACTGTCCAGGATGGCAGTTTGGCATTGATTTACACAGTGTTTTCAGCGTGTAGTCTTTGGACCACTGAGGGACCACACTTTTTTCTGAAGAGCACTAGCAAGTTATTTGTCTGGAAAAAAAAAAACAAACAAATAAAAAACCTGAACCTCAACCAATATGGTTTGACATTGTAGTGGGCCTCTGCTGTAAGGTTGCCTGATCAGGAGGAAGGAAGAAGTGAATAAGGCCTTCTACAGATAGCTAAAAATAGCCTCACATTTGCAAGGTCTGGTCCTCATGGGAGACTTCACTCCAGTGTCTGTTAAAGTAACAACACAGAAAGGCATAAGCAGTGAAGGAGGTTTGTGGAGAGCATCCTCACTCAAGCAATGGAGGGGCCAATGAGGAGAGGTGCTACTTGCATTCATGGACCTCATACTTACAAACAAGGAAGGGTTTATTGGAGTTGCAAAGGTTGAAGACAGCCTTAGCTGTAGGGACCTTGAGGTGGTGGATTTCAGGATCCTGAGAGGAGGAAGCAGAGCAAACAGCAAGGTCACAGTATTGGACTTCAGGAGAGCAATATTGGCTACTTCATGAATCTGCTTGGAAAAGTCCTATGGGATAAGGCTTTGGAGCGAAGAAGGATCCAAGAAAGAAAACATGGTTGATATTGATAGATCACCTCCTCTTAAGTTCGGGAACAGTTCATCCCAAAAGCAGGAATTCAGGCAAAAGTGCCAGTAGGCCTTCATGGATCAACAAGGAACTCCTGGCAAAAACTCAGACGTTAAAAGGAAGCGTAGAGAAGGTGAAAGCAGAGACAGATAACCTGGAAGGAATATGGAGACCATATGTCCAATCATCCAGGGATGTGGTTAGGAAAGCTAAAGCCCAGTAGTAATTGCATCTTTCAAGGGATATCAAAGGTGATCAAAAGGGTTCTTTGTGTACATAGATGACCAAAGGAGGACCAGGGGAATTGTGGACCTGCTGCTGGATGGAGTGGGGGAACATGTAAAAATCTGGGGCACCAAATGCCTTCCTTTACTGGTAAGACTGACCTTTAGGAGTCCCAAGTACCAAGGTGCCATCCAGAGGTGCCTGGACAAGTTTGAGAAGTGGGCTCTTGGGAACCTCATGAGGTTCAACAGGGAAAAGTGCAAGGTGCTGCACCTGTGTTGGGGCAACCCCTGCTATCAATACAGCTGTGGGTTGAAGGGATTGAGAACAGCCCTGCAGAGATGGACTTGGGGAGTGCTAGGAGCCAGCAATGTGTGCTTGCAGCTCAGAAAGCCAGTTTTACCCTGGGCTGCATCAAAAGCAGTGTGGCCAGCAGGTTGAGAGAGGGGATTCAATCCCTCTGCTCTGGTGAGACCCCACCTGGAGTACTACACCCAGCTCTGGGGTCCCCAGCACAGGAAGGACATGGAGAGATTCCAGAGGATGACCACAGAAATAATCAGAGGGCTGAAGCACCTCTCCTGTGAGGAAATGCTGAGAGAGCTGGCCTTGTTCATCCTGGGGAAGACTCCAGGGAGATCTTAAAGCAGCCTTTCCATAGTTAAAAGGGGGTGAGAAAGACAGGAACCAGCTTTTTAACAGGGCTTGTTGCCAGAGGAGCAGGGGTAATGGTTTTAAACTAAGAGAGGGTTGATTTCGACTAGATCTAAGGAAGGCATTTTTTTACAATAAGAGTGGTGAAACACTGGCAAGTTTACCGGAGAGGTTGTAGGTGCCCTATTCCTGGAAATATTCCGGGTCAGGTTGGATGGGGCTCTGAGCAACCATGATCTAGTTGAAGATGTTCCTGTTCATCACAGTGAGGGGTTGGACTCGATGATCCTTAAAGGTCCTTTCCAATGCAAACTTGATGACTCTCAGTGATCTTTGAGTGATCATGATTACTGGGAGACGTTCCCGAGGCCTGGAAGAAGGCAAATGTCACTCCTATCCTCAGGATAGAAAGATGATCCAGGAACTATACAAGCCTGTCAGCCTCACTTCGGTTTCTGGTAAGGTGCCATCCAGTGGGACTTTTGACAGGCTGGAGAAATGGACTGCCAATTGATGTTTAGCAAGAAGTGCAAAGTCCTGCACTTGGAGTGAAATAGTCCCATTATTATTTTGGGGGACAAGCCGAGCATGAGCCAGCAGTGTGTCCTTTCAGGAAAAAAAGGCTAATGGCATCCTGGCTGCATTAAGATTGTTGGCAGCATGTTGAGAGAGGTGATCCTTCTTTTCTACCCAGCCACATCCAGAGTACTGCATCCAGTGCTAAGCTCCCCAGTGCAAGAGGGATCAGTTTAATTGTATAACTCTAACTGAATGGAGAAAGTCACCTATTTAAGTAACATTTTAGCAAGTAAACTTATTTTCTTTGACTCAGTTTTATGTTTCTTTGCAAAGTTAATGAGCAAATACTTGCTAGTGCTTTATTTTCCTTCTGTCAAGCTACTCTTACTCAAGAAGGCAGAAGCTGCCCCATGAGTCTCACTCTTTTTAATATATTTTTTTAAATAGAATCTCTTTGGTAGAAGTTATTAATAATTTTTAGGTATTATCTGTATTGCTTCCAGCATTTCACAGGAACACTGTCAAACAGTTTTCTGACTAGGGTATATTGACATCTGGATACTGTTTGTGAAAGTGTTGTTCTAGTCCCATTGTGAATACAAGCTTTGCAGTAGTCTATCCAAAGATGTTTTGATCTGTTTGTGTACAGTACTGGACAGAGAAATTAATTTCCTGGAGGCTGTAATCCCTTTTGATCAGATACTAAATTTCATATATTATTCATATAAAGTTTGACTAATTGATTTAATGTGAATGAAATTCTAAAATCCAGTCATTAGCTGTTGGGAACTGGAATATCATTTTAGTTAGGATGTTTAATACATCAAGTTCTAGATTTCAAAATAATGTTATAGCATCTTTAAAATCTGATATCTGTGACTCTGGTATGTGTGACTCTTCAATATTGTGTATATTAGGTGAGATTTCACATCTCTAGCATAATTTTTACACCAATTTTTGAAGCTGTGGTGATGATTTCAGTATGACTTACGCAGCTCTTACATTATTTTTCTGTGTTGTTTTTAATCTATCCTATTCCAATAAGCATATGATTTTCCAGGTCAGTGCGAAGTAGAACATCTGGTGTCTTTCTGTACTTGGCTTGAAGACACCACCATTTAACTTTTGTGTGCTAAATGATATTTGAGTTGAATGCAGACAAGTATACTGTCTTTTAAAACACCCTATCGAAGTAATCAGAAGGTATTTATTATTTTTAAGTTGATGTAATAGAGAGTATTTTAATGCTTCCAAAGAGTTCAACCAATATACAGTCAAAGCAAATGTATTTGAAACAGAATTCAGTTTTGTTTCTTTACCAGGTAGGTCTTTAGGATTCTCAGCTTTCCTCCCTGCTTGATTTATGCTCATTGGCATACCAGTCAAATATCTTTTTTTCAGAAATTATGTCAGCAACACTGTGAAAAATGGGTGGAAGAAAGATGGCACAGTTGTAAACCCTGTAAAATCTTTTCCTTTTGTTTACTTGTCTACTATGAATGTCACCTTAAGGAGAGATTTAAAATTACATTGAGTGGGCAGTTGCAAAGGTAAAAATAGTGTTGCTATCTAATTTGCTTTGTCTGGATTTCAATGCCCAAGTTGTTCTTCTTGATCAATAATAAATAAATAGGCAGTTAATAATGAAATATATTTATGATTTTCTGTGTTTTTCTTCTCTGTGAAGGCCACAATATTGTATTAATCTGTTTTGCTGGCAGCAGATTGAAGATTGACAGTATGCGTGTACTGTACTACTTAATGTATCTTCTGTAAGGTGGTTTAGACTTGGCAAAGATGTGTCAAAGTCCTGATTTTTGTGTGACTTCTGGTATATCCCACCCTTGCCTATGATGGCAGTAACAGCAGATCCTGGGGCTTCATTGGGCCGTTCCTGTGGCTGCCCCTCTCCACGGCAGAAGCAGCTGCAGGCTTTGCTGGGTTCTGTCTGTCCGAGTCAGGCAGATGAAGAGCTCGAGTCCTTGCGTGGGTGGAAGGTTCTGCTGCCTTCTTCCCCCCGTTCCTTCCTTGCCTTCCACAGGAAAACGGCGACAGCTCTGGGCTTTGAGCCAGCCGGACACAGGAGGAGGTGTTTGGCTGTTCAGGCAGCGTTTGCTCCTTAAACAGCTGTTCCCTATCTCCTCCAAGGAAAAGGTGGCAGGCCATATGGAGGCATCCTGTGGTCCAGATTCAGATGATGGGCACCAGTTGGACCATCCTGGCCTAGATGGAAATAGAGGCATGTCCTGCTTGGTGTCTGCTATTTCTTACAGTCAAAATAATTCAAAGTTGGAGGGACAGACATGATAAAACATATCTTCCATTTTGAATATAGATGTTATATTTCATCATACAGACATTGTTAAGATCTCCTAATCAGCAGGTTTTAATTTATTTTATATTCTGAATGGGTTCTGCTATAGTGGCCTAAAAGCCTGCTTTCCTCTAGAGAAGCAGAGACGTACTTCAAAGCGAATGTGGCAGCGCTAAACAAAATTTGTTTCTGCATAGTTTAAACCACATTTGGGAGGAATAATACATTCTCTTGTTAGTAGTATGGGCTTTTAAGGCATTTTTTTGAAGATGGGGTTGTCAACCACTCTCCTGGTTGAGAATGCAGATAAGCATCTCTTTTTACAGCCAATAGAGTGGAGACAGTTTTTTGTTTGCTTTTCTGTTAGTAGCCTTTTTTTTAACTGAGTTGCACTTTGTGGGACATTTGAGGCTATCCCCAAGGATGCTGTCTGTGTCTTTTGTGGAAGTGAGTGCCTCAGCAGACATCAGGAGATCATGATGCACTTACAAGTATACTTTCTCATATAAAGTTTGTACTTATTGTGCAGATTTAATATTTTTTCCTGATATAACAGCAGTTACAAATGTTCCATAAATTTAAAATATTATAATAAGCTGATGTTTCTTAGAGTGGAATACTCAAAGGATGTATTCTTTAAGCACTGCAAAATTATGCAGGGTACTTATCTTTGTTAAAATTAGTAATTTAACTAAATTACAAAGTGGATTATCCTCTTCAGTCAGACTCAATGCTAATACTCTACAC